GGTTAAAAATATCTTGCAACTTTTTTTTTTTTTTTTTTTTTTTTTGCAATCCATAAGAAGGATGTCTGCCTACAGCGTAACAGCGTAATAGCTCTGGTGCTTTGCAGAACAAATGGTACCTAATGATGTTGTCTTGGTAGATCACTCCACCTGAAGATGAGTAAATCATGCAAAGTAGGGACTTTTTTTTTTTTTTTTTTTTAAATAAAATGGTGTGGTTTCAACAGTATTCAAGCTGGGGTAAGTGTAGGTTGCTGGAGAAAATGGTAGTTCAGCTTTTTTCATTCCCTTCTCTAGTACCTCAGTGACTGTATTGCTAGAAAGTGAGTTAGTTGAAATCATGGATCAGGCAGAAGAAAGGTCTGGATTTTTTCCTCCTTTTTGTGAAAGAAGCGGGGGAGGAAGAGGAAATTTTCAGATTAAATGATTGTACTGCTGCATGGCTGTAGATCTCAGGTAAGGAGAGTGTTCGTAGCCCACATGCTAGAAGGTTATGCGCAGAATCACGCTGTTTGCAGGTTGTAGAATTGTACAGGATCAGGTACATCCTGTAACCCTAACATGGGTGCAACTTGGTTTATTTACTAGCTTCTGCAGTCTTTGTATAGGGGTAGTTAAACAGTATGCAGAAACTGCTAGCGATTCATGTTTTTTCAAGGAGCATGCTATCCTTTAATTCTGAACTGAAGAACTGTAAGATATTCCCTGTTTCCAGCAGCTTCTTGGAAAATGAATATTATTACAGGATTAACTACCTCTGTATTTCTTCTAAAACACTACAGGCCTGTCATGCCAAGACATACAATGTTGATAACTGCATCCACATCTTTTAACTCTCACCTTATTAAAGTTTTTGATGACTAAAAATGAACCCCCCAAAAAATTGCTACCAAGTCAGCCTATTGTAATATCAAACCCCACATTCTACCTCCAGCTCTAAGAAGAGCAAATGCCACTCAGGATCATGATCTGACTGTTTTCACTCTCTTCATGCTTCCACAGCAACCACATTTGTTGCACTGCATATTTTTGAGGCTACATCTATACTTCATCCATGCCTGCTTTTACAACCTTTTGTGACAGCAAGTTCAAGATGTTCATCGGCTGCTGCATGAACCTTCATCTGTTTTAAACTGACACCCTAACTGCTTTCATCAAGCACTCCCTACTTCTCATCTTGCAGATTTCATAATGGCAGCTCCACATTCAGCTTGTCCACTACTTTCCTGACTTGGTAAATGTTGACCCTGACCCCTCCTGACATTTTTCTCACCAAACTGAGGAAACTTTGCATTGTGAGGCAGCTGCTCAATCCCATCAATCATTTCACTTGCCTTTTTATGTATTTTATCTGACACTACCACGTTCTCCTTAAGATGTGACAATGAGGCATACCCTTAAATGCACTGCACAGAGCCACTCAGCCGCCTTTCCCCAGATTCCTAGTTTTGCCACCAAAGAACACAATGGACAAATACCCAAGCTGTGGTTTTCAGCCCAAGAACGCTTTTAGCATACACAATTATACAGCCAGTTTCTACTCCTCATATAGCATTTTCTGTCCTGTAACTGAGCTTGCCCAGTCAATAGTGTTCCTGAGTTGTTACACCTGATATGCACTAGCATCTATTCAACTACAATTTGGACAGAATGATGCAAAGGTGACTTTTTTTTGTTCTCTACTGTACAGCACCTAGCACAATATGATCCTGATTCAGGAGGCAGGCTTTTAGATGTTTGAGCTATCAGGGAACTCCTCTTCTCCCTGATAACAAAGGCCTTAAAAATATATATAATAATACACATCATAATGCAATACTAGTCAAAGACATTATGATTAAAACACCAGCTAGACTTGAGCTTAGGCACTATGCCTGCTTGATTTTCTTGTTCACATAACTTCTTTCATTTCTGACATTTTTTAAAAACAACTGCCAAAATAAATCATTAAATTTTCCACTGCCCTTTCAGGGGCACAGATACAGCCAAACCAGAACCCAGGAGGCAGCAGTCCAGATTGCAGCTCCTGTGACAAGCCTCATCTCCAGGAGGAATACAGCCTGGTTCAAGATTTGTTAGAAGACTGCCTTTAATACAGTCTAAGGGAGTTATTGTTACTCCTGTAGAGGCATTTTTTTCCAAATACAATAATAAATAAAAAAGAAAGAAATAACTGTATGGGTGTTGTTTTTATTTATATATGGCATAATCGGGAAATATAGGTCAGCTACAAAAGATAAAGAGTTCTGTGTATGACAACCAAAACACAGATGCTCTGTTTGTCACCCAAAACAAAAACATAATTGTAAGCCATGTGTTGCCAGTCCCCCATTTGTAACATTTTCACTTCAAAGTTTCTTGTTACCTTGTACAAGATTTCACTAATTGCTTTTCTTTCTGTTAATTTTAAAAGTAGTGATATTTTGAAGTCATCCCTACCTGCAAGGCCTCAAAAGCCGGAGTTACCCAGGCTCTGCAGAAACATTACCTATACTACAGTTCTCCTGCATATGTACAGACATACATGTACAATTATACTTCGAGAGGAGTGGAAAAAAAAATACTTATTGGGCTTGTTCAGCCTGGAGAAAAGGAGGCTCAGGGGCGACCTTATTGCTCTCTACAGGTACCTCAAAGGAGGCTGTAGCGAGGTGGGGGTTGGTCTGTTTTCCCACATGCCTGGTGACAGAACGAGGGGGAATGGGCTTAAGTTGCACCAGGGGAGTTTTAGGTTGGATCTTAGGAAGAACTTCTTTACTGAAAGGGTTGTTAGACATTGGAACAGGCTGCCTAGGGAAGTGGTGGAGTCACCATCACTGGAAGTCTTCAAAAGACGTTTAGATGTAGAGCTTAGGGATATGGTTTAGTGGGGACTGTTAGCGTTAGGTCAGAGGTTGGACTCGATGATCTTGAGGTCTCTTCCAACCTAGAAATTCTGTGATTCTGTGATTCTGTTATTTGAAGCTGTTACTGGAGCAAAGGAGCTCTGCTCATCTCATAGCAAAAGGCAGATTAAAATGTGTGCTTTAACCACCTCATCATTAGTGCTGTAGCTTCATTGAAGTGCACGCGTTTGTCCACATCCCTGGTGTTTTTCATGTTTCTCAAACAACAATATCTTATCACACACAATCGAAGGAAAATATGCAGAAGGGGTCTCAGCCTGTATAAGCCTCTCTTTACAGCCTCCATCCAACAAGCAGTGATAAACATTGAACAATATCTAATAAAAGTCACAGACATCTGAGTAATACTGGTGGCATTTAGAACTCTTCTCATATTTATGTGACTCAGAGTCAGACACTGCATATTTTCAGTAGAGAATAAACAATCTCAAAGTCCTCTCTGCAGTACAATCCAAAATATTCTAGAAGTCCATCCTTTTCCACCCTTGTTGCAATCTAAAGGCAGCCAAAAGCCATCACACTTCCTTTCATGCAGAACAGAAAACATCTTTGTTCTCCAAAACAGGATCCTTCCCACCAAAGGTAGAGGCAAAGCCTCTTCTGATTGCATTGGGATAAATTGCTTCAACAAACCAGTGTATTTGCTCAACCCCTCTTCTTGGAAATATTCACTGTACAATCAGAGTTTAAATGCCAACAGGCAAGTTCAGTTGGGTCTAGCATATTGAAAAATGCTGTGTCACAAATCAGGGCAATTAGCAAAGCAGTCCCACTATTTAATTTGTGTGGAGGAATAACAGCAGCCAGTAATTACTTTAACAGTTTTTCTTGACAGACACTTCAAAGGCCATGACAATTGAAATTTGAGGAGAGAAGAGATTAAAAAAAAAAAAGAGAGAGAGAGAGAAAAGGGAGGTCCCAAAACAAACTATGACATACTGAGAAGGTTGGCTGGGGTTACAAACAGTTAAATGAAAAACTGAAACTGGTCTGTTAAATTAAAAAAAAAAAAAAAAAAAAAAAGCGCTGCACTATCTTACGAGCAACTGTTCTAGCTGTCTTGCTAAATTTAGTCTTTCTAAATGCTTAACTGTATCTAAGTTCCTTTTATTTCTTGGGCGTGGATAAGAATTACAGCAAGAGAAAAGTTAGTTCATGTCTCAGCTGCGTTTAGCAGCTCCTAAACAACTGTGAAATGCAAAACAGAAACAAAACACCCTTCAGCTTAAGAGTAAGCCAAAACTGAACTGATAACAAGACAGTAGCAAGGGTTATCTGCCTCTATGCAGCTAAGCTCAGGTCTATTTAGTTTAAAACCTGAGGTTATGGAATCTTCAGCAGGTTTTGAATCACTCTCTTTTTTTCATTGATTAGAAATGGTACCTCTGCAGCTCTATTTTGTGCAACTTTGCAAACTTTTTTTTTTTTCCTGATTTCAGCTTTTCTATCAGTGATACTAGGAACGAATGTACTACTTTGTCTAATTCAGATGAACATGTCCAATTTATTCAGACTAGGCATTCCATTTTTATTACAGCTACAGCCATTTCATTACTCTGTGCTGAAATCATTGCATCACTTCATGAATCACCCACTGCCATGCTATCTGCAGACCAAAAAGAGGCAGCAACATAACTTACAGAGCAGGATAGCGACAGGACAGCAGGCAGGAAGGAGTAGCAAATATTATAGTCAAGGGTTATTTCTACCTGATCAGCCAAAGAGAGAAGCAATATGCACTGAAATTCTTCTCAGACTTCAAAGAGCCCTTCGTGCTTTACATATTTCAATTTCCTGCACACAACTTTTCAGCAGAATACTAAATATGCACAAACATGAAAGCTGATGGCCTCAGTGCTGAAGCTTGATTAAACTTGATAGACATGAGGGCCTCGGCATGTTCAAACTTTTATTTCACCTTTCTGAACAAAAGAAATTAGTGCAAAAGCATTAAGTAGATCTCCCAGTACCTACACTCTCACTGACAGTATTTTATGGAAAAAGCTTCATATTTTTTATAAGTAGTATTTAAAAAAAAAATGTGGCAATTGTTTTGATAGTCTGTGCAAGAGGTGTGTTGAATGATTTACCTACCTTCTCTGTGATGTAGAAGTTAGAACTATCAGCATGTTGCAGTGCAAATTGATCATGATTTGCAAGAGACCACCTTAGAAAGATGAAAACAAGTTAAATCACAAAATGAAACCTTAAAATAAAAAACATTTACACAACTTTACCATGATTAAACAAGTGCCTGTCTGTCCCATGTATTTCTCATACTTACTCAGTCTTCAATTATGTGCTAAAAAAAAAAAAGCATGCTTACATGGGGAAAACCTCAGTACAAATATATCCCATAAGTTAGATATTTTCCCTTTTCATAAGTGAAACAAAGCTCTACATTGTCACTGCACTGACACTTCAGTGCTCCAAAAATAAGTTGATAATGATCTGATAATTCATTCCAGATCTGTTAAAAAAATAGGAAGTATAATTCTTCGCTTGCAGTTAGCAAGATCACTATATTACTAAAAACATTTACAGTACCAGGATTTTATGCTATCTTATACAATACCCAATGCATATAGTACTAAATTGATATATTACATTACTCAAAATATTGCCTCTCTAATTCAGCATCAATTTGATGAATGTAAAGTAGCTTTTTCTCTATGGTAGCGCTTGCTGGAAACAGCATTTTTTCAAATATTTCCATACCAAATCTAAAGCAAGATATTTCCCTTAGCCAGTTATTAATTCATGCTGCAGGACTTGGTTGCCACATTTTAGTTTCATGTGAGCATTCACATCAACTAGACCAGCCTACAGCATCCAGTAGGTACTGTTTACAAATCCAAGCCACAACCAGTGCAGCACTTCCTTAACTGTGGTCCTCTGTTGATCTGTGATACATTGCAAATCCAAAAATCTAAAGATAAAACAACTGCAAGGTTGAAAAGTCTAATGACTTGTCATAAAGGATATCTAAACTTTCTTCAGAATACTCATAACCTCCTGGTTGGCTTAAATCAAGAAGGTATAGTATCTAGTATGTCGTGTATGGCAGAACTTACCCATCGCAGACTTCTTTTATTATTGAGGACAGTGGTTTTTTCTGGTTAAGGAGAGAAGAAAAAAAATAAAAATCACTGAATTAGAAAGGCCTGAGGTCTGAAAATAATTCCAAAACTACAGATTCCAAATAAGAAAACAAATTAATAGCATTTATTTTTCTTTTCAATATTAAGCTTGGAAGGACCCAAAAGTTTTCTGGTGTTTTGGGCTGATAATCTAAAAAGACAGCTATTCTATACATATTCTCCATAATATTATCAGTCCTTTTTGTCATCGTTAACCTATATGGCATCAACTCAGCTTCTCCACTGAGAAATCAAAGGGTCTTTTGTGTGTACTGCATCTCACTGCCCAGCAGAAACAGAAAATTCAGATATCAACAAAAGCATTTTCCAGCAATGACATCTGAAGCAAGATGACATTCAATATTTTTAAGCCTTTTTTTTTTTTTTTTTTTTGGCCTTTTCAGATACCATACATGTGATGACAGTAACCCTCTCTAAGTATGAATATACAGGCTCCTCTCTGATAAAACAAACTGGAAGGTGTTACAATCCCAGATGTATCAGTTCTTCTTTATTCTCTGCATCTGCAGGCACAAGCATTTGGACTGACTGAAAACAGCCCTGCTGCTTTGGGTCCCAAAGAAGAAGGAGCAGTCTAGTCTGGTGATGGTGCAATACTCTGAATGTTGCTCTAAACATAGGGTGCACACACAAGTGCTTTCAGAAAATTTCTGGGTGAAAGAAAAATGCATGTTTTTAACCCAAAGTATAAATGAAGTTAGATGGGAAAAAAAAAAAAAAAAAAAAAAAGAAAGAAAAAAAGAAACAGAAAAATGTCACTTTTGGATGACTACAGGGTCTTTTTCCTCCAAGACTGGGTGACCACACAATCTATCGCATACATCTGTTGCTTTGTGAGAACTCCCCAAATGACCCACGGAGCCTCCTCTTTACTTTCAACAATCACAGTTCAACAGTTCATTGAATTCTTAAAAAAAAGAAAACTGCACAGCAACCTATAAACAACCCAGAAGCCGACACTGTTACCAAAAGCAGCAGACTCCCTTTAGTGTTTATGGAAAATTGATAAGGCTAAAAGTCAGTTCAGTAGCAGGGTGTACTATGGGGAGGGAGAATTACTTTTCCTGTTGGATTTGTTTTCTAAACAGCACAGACAGAAAACAAGGGATGAAAAATCCCTGCTCACACCAGATTCAGGTAAGGATGTTATTTCAACAGTCCAGTCAACTAAATCTTTTTATGTACAGGTTAAAATGTAAAATGAGCATTTTAATGGAAGATAAATGAAAGCAACTGCTGAAAGAATCCTGTCCCCTCTTGCTATACCTTCTGGGTTCTTGCTTTCCACCCTTCCTTTCCACTGCCATTACTGTTTTCATGTGACCACACAGATGAGTCACACAAGGGAACCTGATCAAACTAAAAATTGACATAAGAAAAAGCAAAGGAAAAAAAACTTTCATCTGGATCTATATCCTCATCTGACTTGCTATGTGCCTAAATGAAAAGCAAATACCAGTACACAAGAGAAAAGGCAAGAAGCACGAAACTGTTCTCCTCTGCAGCAGCCAGCATGCACCTTCTCCATAGCATCTTCTCGCCTTTGTGTGTGCAGCTGGGACCAGATGAGGCAGATCACACAAAAGGTTTTCCTCCCCAAAACTTACAAAGAGAAGAGGAAAAGGAAAAAAATCCCACTGATGGAGGAGCACTGGGCTGTCCAGCTCTGGATAAGGCCCAGTTGGTGTCCAATGGGCACGTGCCAGCTTGCAGGTGAGCTACCCCAAATGGAGCATGCAGATCTGCTTGCTGCCTCCCCTTCGCTCCTCAGGATGCTCAGCTCACGTGCACCCCTCTGACATATTGGCTTATCTCAACTGAATTTGTACCTGGGATATTCATTCCCTTCACAAAGTAAATTGGTATCAGCTAACAGATTTAAAACAACAAAGGACAAGAATAATTGCCTCTCCTCCCCACCTGCTACAGGAAACCAGGATGAAAAGGAACTGTAGCAACCTAGACCTGCAATAATACATAGGTTGAATACAATTACTGTTGAAATCAGGATATCAGTACTTCTAAATCCTTTGCCCCATCAGCTTCCACATCCTTTCTCAACGCCACCCATTTCCCTCCCCCTTTTCCAATACTATGCCATCTTTGTATTATTATTTGACATTGTTTTTTGTTCACTTTTCTAAGTATTTCATTTCAAACAAATCAACAAGAACCTGTAAGGGACAGTTCAAAAATGAAAGCAAGGATCCTAAATAATAAAAATTATTAACACAGGCAGCCTTTCAGGGTACTGCTTTGTCTTCCTGTGCTATGTTGGGTTTACATAGCAAGGTTTTGGTAGCGGGGGAGCTGCAGGGCTGTAGGGACATGGTTTAGTGGGGACTGTTAGCATTAGGTCAGAGGTTGGACTCGATGATCTTGAGGTCTCTTCCAACCTAGAAATTCTGTGATTCTGTGAAAAGCCCATCAGCTGCCCCATATTAGATAAGGGCCAGTTTCAGCTTGCTCCAAAGGGACCCGGTGTTGCCCAGAGCCGAGCCAGTGAGGGATGTTGTTTGCACCCCTGTGAGAGGAGATTTTGCCCCGGGCCGGAGCTGCAGCCCGTGGAGAGGAGCCCACACAGGAGCAGGGGGGTCTGGGGGGAGCTGCCGCCCACCCGTGGGGTCCCATGCTGGAGCAGTTTGCTCCTGGGGGATGGATGGATGGACCCCGTGGGACGGAGCCATGTAGGAGCAGTGCTTGAAGAGCTGCTGCCTGTGGGCAGTCCCGGCAGGCTCAGGTCAGGAAGGACGGCATCCCGTGGGAGGGACCCCATTGTCAGGGAGGGACCATGAGGGAGCAGTGGGGACGAAATGCTATAGACTGACCACAGCCTCCAGTCCTCGTTCCCCTGTGCTGCTTGGGGGGGCGGAAGTGGAAGAGGGTGGATGGGGGGAAGATGTTTTCAGTTTGTCTTCTCTGTTTCTCACTCCTCTAGCTTGTTAGTAATAGGTAGTAAATTTCTCCGGTCTCCTTACTCTGAGTCTGTTTCACCCATCACGATAATTGTTATCTCCTTATCCTTATCTCAACCCTTGAGCCCTTTTCATGATATTTTGTCCCCCTTCCCCTTTGAGGAGAGGGAGTAAGAGAGGGGCTGTGGTGGAGCTCGGCTGCCCAGATGGTAAAACCACCACATGTATCACTCTTGCCACAGTACTGAAGTGACTAAGCACAAGTCAGTTAACAGCAACAGGATGATGAAAAAGTGGAAGTCTTCTGGGACACAAAGTTTGCAATCAGTAATTCAATAGCACTAGAGTGAGCTTTACAAATTAACAAATGTAAATTAATTTACATTTGCAATCCTAATAAGCTCCTGCTCCTCATAATCCTTTGGGCTCTGCTCACCCTGCAAATAACTCTCCAGACAAAACTTCGCCCCTTCCCGCAAAGCAGACAAATTGCCATCAGCACAGGCACTCCCAGCTGTGAGCAGGGCACTGCTGAAAGCAGGCAAGGGCTGCCACAGCCTCCCAAGGAGACTCTGCACATCTGCCCTGGGGCCTCCACACCAACAACCTTATTTGCTCTGCAAGGGGCAGAAGGGTGAGTGATGGGCTCCTCATTACAGCTCAATTTTATAGATATGTTTTTTTTTTGAAACATGAAAGATGAGGTAAACATTTACCTTTGCTTTCTGCAAAGTACATCTACTCTGCAGGCCATTCAAAGATATGTTTGTGTTTTTTTTGGCCCAGATGTAAATACTTGCCTGATGTCAAGGAGAAAGAATATTGTTTTGATTATTTCAATCTTCACACAACTATTTTTATGGAAATATACATCATATTTTTGCAGCATTTATGTGTAAAAAGAAACTCACCTTAATATGCTTCAAAGAATTTCCTACCATCACATAATCCAAGACAATCTCAAAGTATTCTCTTCATCAAAATAATTATTTTGTACTAGTGTCTTTTAATTGTTTTGGATGTTTTTTGCCTCTATATCCTCTCCTACACCAGGAAAATTGAAGTGTACTTTCACACATGCTGAGATGATCTTCTTAAAGCTTTAAGAAGATCAAGCTGTAGCTTTAATGCATGAAATAACACAGATCAAAGTAAATCTTATGCTCGCTATAGGAGATAACCCCCCTTTTATCTAACATATCACAAACATCTGCACTGAACACATCAGTTAGTATAAAAGTATTTTCCTAGTGTAGGTATTAAATTGATAGCTCAAATCCAGTGGGAAATAATAACAAGGAATTACGGCCTCATGACCTGTTGATCAGTGTACACATGGAGAACACTAAGCATAGGCAGTGTTAGAATTGACAAATCTGCACACCCGGTAAAGCTTTACCTGCGTTGGCTGGTTAGTACAAGTGTCTGAGATGCTGGCCAAGTCTTGTCCTAATGACATCTACCATGCAGCACTACCTAGTCACCATGTCTGCGCCACCTGCGTATTCCTGAGGACACCTCTACAGGCTACACTAAGGAGAACACAATCCCCAGCTTGGTCTACTTTGGTACCACCCCTGCACTGTGCAGGATGCTGCTGCCTGTGCAGTATTTTGTACCTCTTCTAAGGGAACTTGGAGAGCACAAACTGAGATTTCCCGCTACTTCCCCATCAGCTTCATCCTTTCATGCCTATGCCTTGGGTTTCCCATAGAGGCAACCACTCAACAGGTAGCACTAAGCATGAGCATGTTGGATGAACCCAGGCCGTTGCTTTGCTTTAGGGAAACTGTGGAACAAGCCAAAAAAATAAAAATAAATGCTCAGACTACTCAGTGCTGCCCACGCCCTAGGTGCATTTCAATCAGCAGTACGCTGACCTGGGCTTAAAGCACTTCTAAATCACACAAAGTATTTACATGTGTGAACCGTAATGAGCACAGAAGCTTAAATCTGGGTGGAATCCTGTGTTGTATGTGCAGTTCAGATATGCTCTGATGGTGCTATATTGGGGAATTGTAGATATTAGTTTCCTTTAG